GGGGAGGGGGGGGGGGGTTTGGCGCCCTTTAGGGTGAAGTTATTTGTGTGATGTTACTGATATCTTCCGTGACGAGTTCTGGGTCGTCGCGGTCGTCGCCTTCGGATCCGGAGACGGAGTCGGCGAGTTCTACGCCGTCTTTGTTGAAGCCGTTAACGATTTCGAGCTGGGGTAGGGCGTCGAAGATTTGGGAGCGCACGTTTGGTTGAGCATTCTCGCCCGTGAATGGGTTCATCTCTACGTCGATCTCCTTGAGGGTCTTGAGAGCAGTCAGGGGCGCCAGCTCGACCAGACTGCCGAGGCGGTTGCCCGCCATGTACAATGTGGAGAGTGCAGGGAACTTGGCCACAATCACCGCCAACGTTTGCGCTCCAGACAACTTATTGTCATGCAACTCTAAAGACTCTACCAAAGGGAACTGTGGCAACTTCGACACGTCCGTCAGACTGCACTGGTTCATGCTCAAGCACTTTAGACTCGTGTACTGACACAACTCCGCACAGTCCTCATCCGTAATAGCCCTCAACTTAAGCCCATCCAAAATCAGCTCTTCAGTAATCTACAAGACATTGGCGAGGTAGTGACGACGTCAAGTCGTGACGACGCCAAGTGGTGACGACGCCAAGTGGTGACGACGCCAAGTGGTGACGACGCCAAGTGGTGACGGGGTCTGCCCCCATAACAAGTAAGTGGTTGACTCCCCCATAACAAGTGACTCATACTGCTGGATTGACGGTTCCAGTTCGCTTCTTTGAGATGAATTGGTTAATCCTCATTTTTGGTAAAAATTCTTATGGTACTATTTAATTTCGCTTCATGATGCCTTTGACGTAGGGGCTGTGGTTGCTAACAGGGCCCGCACCGACGTAGGTGTTGCCCGGCACTGTGGTGGAGTAGCCAGGGGAATAACTCGTGCCGCCGACGTAGCTGCCACCAGTGTAGCCGGTACCGGCGTAGCTGCCACCGGTATAGCCGGTACCGCCGTAGCCGCCACCGGTATAGCTACCACCCGCATAATTGCCGCCCGTGTAAGCCCCACCCGTGTAGCTACTGTAGCTACCACCAGTCACATAGCCAGCGTTCGTGCCGACGCCGATGCTGCCCAAGCCTTGGACGTTGAGGGTGCCATCTCTCCAGTTCTTCATGAGGATGGATTGCAGGTCACTTGTCGACACCCTCGACTGGATGTCCGCTCTCATGATAGTGGTAGCCAGGTTCTCAATTTCACAGAGCGATGCTGCGGTCTTGGTTAGAGAACCTAGCTGCTGCAAATAGGTTTCAGTCTGTTGGAGCAGTCCGCCTTGAAGAAGGTCAATGGCCACTGGGATTTCGATGAAGCGCGGCAGGTAGACCGGGTAAGTGATCTTGTGGTATCTGGGCTTGATCTGCGGGATGCGGAACTCGTAGGTGATGTTCGCCTCCACGGGGACGGGAATGTTTCGATCAACGTCGATGGCTTGCTCCACCTGGACCACGTTTGGCACAGGCTTCTCGACATACTGGGGCACGGGGACTTCTCTGATCCGCACCTCATCTCTCCAGTCCTCGATTTCTACGAGGCGCTCGACAGGGACCTCGCGGTACGTGATTTCGGGTACGTCCACCACGCGTTCCTGAGGCACGATTTTGGGGACTTCGTGCACGCGCTCCTGGATCTCCACCTTGTCGACGTGCTTCAAACGCTCCTGCACGATCTTCTCAGGGACCTCCACAATCTTTTCTACATACTCATACTCCGGCACCTCCACTATCTTCTCAACGATGATGGGCTTGGCCACCTCCACAATTCGCTCCTGCACCTTAGCCGTCTCCTCGATGATTTCCTCCTGAATCACCTTCTCAGGCACAATAATGACTTTCTCGATGATCTCCTCGCGCACAATTTTCTTCGGCACCTTCACCTCGTGCTCCACAAATCGCTCTCCCACAACGTGCGTCCGCGACTCATCAACTCTCTGCGTCACACTCACCACACGCTCCTGTCCGTACTCGTGTCCCACGACACGAGACATTTCAGACTGTGAACGTACCGCACTACTCGCACGCGTCGTTCCGTACTGGCCACCGGCGATCTGGTTGGTCGTCGCATATTGCGTACCTGCATATTGTGCGCCGCCCGAAGAGTACTGTGCGCCCGAGACATACGCGTTTGCTGGCATCGTCGTGCCGCTCGTGTACTGACTCGACAATGCGCCGTACTGTGCCCCGCCGTACTGTGCCCCGCCTGACGCATACTGGGCACCCGACGAACTGTACTGACCGCCTTGATACTGCACGCCAGAACCGTACGCAGCAGCACCGTACTGCAAGGGGTTCGCACTCGGCATCAGCGAAGAACCGCTAGACACCATGGTCGCGCCACCCACGTACTGCGCCGGCTGCTGGTAAGAAGCTGAGTACACCGCCGGTGACCCGACGAAGTTAGCCGCACTGCCGTCGTAAGACATACCATTCAAATTGTTCTACAACAACATACATGATCTTCACTTCCAACCTACTCTTGTGGCCCCTGCTCAGTAGTGTAAACCCTGCCTGATATTCCAACTCCTGCCTGTGAGCCCTGGGCGGCAGTGCAACCGGCGGTACAACCGGCAGTGCTAATGAGATCACCCCGGCCCTGCGGCTTGTACCCAGCATTTGCCGACTTTATCGATCAGGCCCTTCACCCGGCCCCCTCGGTGGTGGATCAGTGGTAAAGGTGGATCGGTGGTTTAATGTGTCGGGTGAGTCGTTACGTTAAAGCTCCTGGCAGCGGACATCAAACTTTGATTTCAGAAAAAAGGTTTTCAAAGTGAATTTAAGTACCACGACTCGGCTCGCACACACTTCGCACACGGTCGCACACCTCATTGACACAGCCACTTAATTACCGCATTTGAAAAAAAGGATTAACGAATCACGACGGGGGAGGAAGCCGCAACGTTGACTCCACCCTGGCCGATGTAGCTGCTGCCCGTGGTGTTGATGCCCGCAGTGCTGCCGCCCAGCACGGTGGTTGTACCGCCCAGCACGGTGGGCCCTGAGACGTAGCTGTTTCTAGTCGCGCTTGCGCCATAGCTGCCGCTCAGGGCAGAGGACGTTACATTAGTCCCGGCAATTCCGCCGGTGGAGGTGATTCCACCGGTGGTGGTGATTCCACCGGTGGTGGTGAATCCCCCAGAGGTCAGGCCGGCTCCTAGGATGCCGCCGTTAAGCCCGAGACTGCCTTCCTTCCAACTCTTCATAAGGATGGATTGGAGATCAGACGTGTTAACTCGCGACTGCAAATCTGCCCGCATGATGGTGGTGGCTAAGTTTTCGATTTCACATAACGACGCGGCAGACTTCGTCAACGCACCCAACTGTGCCAAGTACGTCTGAGTCTGTTCCAGAAGACCGCCGCGCAACAGGTCGATGGCCACTGGGACTTCGATAAAACGCGGCAGGTAGACCGGGTAAGTGATCTTGTGGTATCTGGGCTTGATCTGCGGGATGCGGAACTCGTAGGTGATGTTCGCCTCCACGGGGACGGGAATGTTTCGATCCACGTCGATGGCTTGCTCCACCTGGACCACGTTGGGCACAGGCTTCTCGACGTACTGGGGCACGGGGACCTCTCTGATCCGCACCTCATCTCTCCAGTCCTCGATTTCTACGACGCGCTCGACGGGGACCTCGCGGTACGTGATTTCGGGCACGTCCACCACGCGCTCCTGTGGGACCATCTTCGGGACTTCGCGCACGCGCTCCTGGATCTCCACCTTGTCGACGTGCTTCAAACGCTCCTGCACGATCTTCTCAGGGACCTCCACAATCTTCTCTACATACTCATACTCAGGCACTTCCACAATCTTCTCCACAATCACCGGCTTCGCAATCTCCACAATTCGCTCTTTCACTACAGCGGTCTCTTCAATAATCTCTTCCTGAATGATCTTCTCCGGTACAATAATCACCTTCTCTATTATGTCCTCTCGGACGATCTTCTTAGGCACCTTCACCTCGTGCTCCAAAAACCGCTCACCAACTATTTGCGTTCTTGACTCATCAACTCTCTGCGTCACACTCACCACACGCTCTTGACCATACTCGTGTCCCACAACTCGGGACATCTCCGATTGAGAGCGCACTGCGCTGCCTGTCATGGTCGTGTTGCCTGTCATGGTCGCGTTGCCTGTCATGGTCGCGTTGCCTGCCATGGTCGCGTTGCCTGTCATGGTCGCGTTGCCTGTCATGGTCGCGTTGGTGATGGCGGCATTGTTGAGTGCAGCGCCTGCCGTGGTAGTGTTCGCATAAGTTCCGCCTTGGCCGGCGCCGTAGCTACTCGCCAGGGTCTGGCCACCGCCGGTAGCATACTGTTGGCCAGTCGCGTACCCGGAGGCGGCATACTGGCCAGTGGCAGCGTAGGGACTTGTGCTGTAAGACTGTACATTCGCGGCGGGAGTCGCGTTGGGGACGTACTGCTGCCCAGCAGACCCCAACATTGCTCCGCCGAAACTCGCCCCGTAAGTGGCACCAGTCGCCCCGTAAGTGGCGCCGGTCGCCCCGTAACCCGTTCCGGTCGCCCCGTAACCCGTTCCGGTCGTCCCGTAACCCGTTCCGGTCGTCCCGTAACCCGTTCCGGTCGTCCCGTAACCCGTTCCGGTCGTCCCGTAACCTGTTCCGGTCGTCCCGTAACCTGTTCCGGTCGTCCCGTAACCTGTTCCGGATGCCATCGTCGCGCCAGTCGTGATCGGCGAGGCGTTGGCGTACTGCACACCGCCGTACTGTGACGTACCACCGTATTGGGCTGCACCGGCGTATTGCGCGGCGCCGCCATACTGGGCTGAGCTAATCACCGTCTGCGGTGCCGCAGATCCGTACTGAGTAGTGGTGGTCGTCGTCTGTTGGTAACTAGTAGGGACGGCCGAGACGCTGCCAAGGGGCAAGCCAGAAGAAGTCTGATAAGCGGATTTGACGTCCATTGTTGAAAGACTTCAAACTCCAAATTAACTGTTTAACCACAACCAACCAGTCCAGTGCGAGACTCTGTCGTTCGGGCAAGTGTGTGCGAAGTGTGTGCTGTCTTTAAATTATGGCTGACTATCGTCAAACGATTACACGAGCTGAAAAGACTCCAGTCAGATCTAGCTCCAGATCTGGGCCGGCAGACCGACCGAGGTCTGGGGTAGACTCTCGACCGACCCTGGTTGTGGTAGGCCTAGACGGTGGGTCTGGACGCTGGGTCCTGCCTGACCCGGATGATGTGACTGGAACGTGAAAGGGTGTGCGTTTGTGTCACTTAAAAACTCCAGGACTTCCGGTAGGTTGTCAGGGCAGGAGGGGTGCGAAAGAAATTAGTCTGCGAAGGTCGAGGGGTGGACCAAAGTCTCGCTGTGCCTCAAAGAGGTTGCGAGTCGGTGGTTGGTCTCTGGTGAGTATGTGATGGACTCGGGATTCAATGCGTTTGAGTTCGGTCATGTAGTCGATGGGTGGTGGAGGGAAGAGGTGGCGTTGCAGGTGTGAGGGTATCCACAGCTGACTCAGTAGAGCTGAGAGTCCACCCGCTCGCACAGACCGACGCTGACCCTCCGAATCGAACACCGAAAAGCGACTAATAGCCTTCCATAACCGCCGCGGCACAACCAAGTCCGCCGCCAACTCGGGTCCGAATATCCGCCCGTGCGCCACACCTGTGTGCGCCGCCCGATTTCGTGCCGCGCGTGTTTGCGGCAAACGCGCAGCCGTAGCGGAATCGTCCCCCGAGCTGCCCCCGAAGTCGCCAACAAGACTATTAGCGGAGTTGTCTCTCGTTACATTGACTTGAGGCTGGTTGTGAGCCTCATTGCGAGCGATGAACGTCGGCCGCTCGTAAATGGAGCGGACGACTGGGTCACCTTTCGAGCGGACGGAGTCGCTGTCTGTTGTATCCAGCGAGCTTGTATCTGCGACCAACAACTCTGCGACCGACGGCTCAGGGACCGACAAGTCGCGAAAGCGCCCGTCAAGTTCGAGGTCGAGGAGTTCGTTCGACGCGGTCTTTTGGGCTCCGTCCAGAATAAAAGCTTTAGTCCCTTCTGGGAGGGTGGCGGTCACCTGACAGAGCAAGGCCGTGACGACTAGCTTAAACATGGGGCGTTTGGGACGCAGAAAAACGAGGTTGTTGCGCTGCATTTCTCGCCCGTTCAGAACCCTCCGCCGCCAAGGCTTATTCCAACAAGACAATTCTTGGGCGTCCGGAAGCTGCAGGGCTGGGCACCGTCACGCACATAGGGGCGTACCCGCGGCCAGTACCCATAACTCAGCCCATGGGTTTGGCCTGCCCCGCATCTTCGTTGAATGAGGAACAAGCGACTGGGAGCAAGCGACTGGGGTAGTGAATGCTGGACTGCATCGTCTTCTGCTTGAGTAATTCTTCAGTAAAGGAACATTGGGACCAGAAAAAAGATATATTACCGAAGGAATTCTAAAAAGGGCGCTTCGCAATCCCTTATCTCCATACGACCCTTGACTTGAGGCTGAAAGAACGTAGGACCCTGTATGTGTAGTACTGTATGTATGTGTAGTACCACTTGATTGGTGTGTGTGCAACATGGTGTGCGCGGATTGTAATGTGTGTGCGACATGGTGTGTTTGATACGTGATGTTCTTGGATGAGTTCAATCTTGTGTGCAAGAACAGTCTTGTCTTCGCCTGCATCGAGGATGATGAGTGAGATGCCTTTGTTCACATGTTTGCCGATAACAATAATGTGTTTGGCGAAGGCTTCGAGTATGATCGTGAGTATTCCTTTGTCGATGCTGGTGGTTCCATATTGTACTATTTCGTTGTACTGGTTTTGGCTGATGGCTCTGCAGTTTTTGCTAAAGGCCTGGTAGAAGGAGTGGGACTGTTGGTAGGGGTCTTCGATTTTTTTCCAGGGGAAGGGATCCCCCTTGGATCTCACTTGGAAGCCGCAGTATACAGCGATTCTTTTGAAGGGACCCAGTTGTTTGTCCCACTTGGTGGTACTGTTAGTACCGACGGAACTGTTGCGATGGGCGAGTCGGTTGAGGCTATTACCACTGAGCAAGTTGGAGCTGAGCAGATGGTGTCCTGTATCGACATTTCCGGCAGCTAGAGTAAGTCGGAACATGACAGGAACCAGACAGCGCCAGACAGCGGTAGATGCCCAAGAATGGATGCCCGCTATAAGCGCCGGGTAGACGTGACGTTTGGCCCTGAAGTTGTCCGCGCTAAGCATATACCGTATGAGTCCCAACCATGAAAACGAAAGTCGCTGATCCTTATCGTCGGGACAGAACCGTAGATAGCCCCGGGATATTGCATTGAGACCCGAGTGGTAGGTGTATCGGAGGAAGGGGGCGAAGGTGCGTAACTGTGTGCTACATGAAACGGTCTCGGGTCCGGATACGACTTGTAGATCGCAACGTGGTTCTATAGAGCGTCGCATGGCATCCTTGTCGGGCGAGATGCGATCTACTAACAAAACTTGGCGACGTTCCCGGATGTCACGAGGACTAGTACCTGATCTGCAGTCCACGCCTTTAAGCACTATACTTAGTGCGAATGGGGACATTCGAAACTCGCCTGACAGCTCCCGACTATACATCTCCTCGCTCGATGGCTGGCGCCGAGTACATGTCGAAGTCTGCCGTCGTCCAGGAGATCCGGCGCGTCGTGAGATCTGTGCGTCCAGCTGAAGGCCGCGACTAGCACTGAGTCTACTAGCACTTAGTCTACTCGCACTTAGACGACTGGTCGATAGCCTACTGACACTCAGGCGACTGGTGGACAACCTGCCTATTGACAACCGCCCACCTGAGACCGCACTTACCTCCACCAACAAATGCGCCGGCGTCGAGTAGGATCCAGCTTGCGCCAGCGTCACAATGTTAGCTACCGAACTCGCCAGAATGTCGTCCCGGGCACCCGACTGCGATAGAATTTCTGTCGCCGTATCGTACAACCCTTCAGAGGCAGCCTCCGGGTCCTGCAATAATTTGTCACATAACTCGTGCATTAACTTCGGTAACCCACCCGTCTTCATCTGCACATATCGCACCACAAGGTCAGCCGCCAACAACTCATCATGACCGCCACAGAAAGGCAAAAACAAACGCACCAACTCCTCCATCACGCTCTTGCCTTCATAGTCCCTCGGCCGCGGTGGCACCCGACTACGCCACGCACCTGTCTCGTACGGTTCAAAAGACCGCTCAGGGGGCGGTGACGCGGCGGAAGAAAATGAACGACCTGGCACCTCCTCTAATGACCCCTCATCAGACAGTCCACCAGACCTGGTGTTCGCCGACTTTGTCTCGTCCTTGGTTGACTTGGCAGACTTGAGCTCGTCCTTTGTTGACTTCAGGTCGTCCTTGGCAAACTTGATTCCGCTTGTAGACCTGATCCCGCTGGCCGACCTCACGCCGCTGGTCGACCTCACGCCGCTCCCAGACTTGACATCGTCCTTCGTTCTGCTGCGGTGGCCAGGGCTGCTTCGTCGCACGCGTGTGGTTTCAAGACTTTCACGCACCTCCGAATCGGAGAGGCCGCCGAGGCGGATTATAGAACGCTCAGCGGCCATGGGGTTGGTTGGGTCGAGCATGGCAGCTTGGAATAGCATGTCTTCTTCCTGATTGATGATAAGCACCCCGATTTTTGCGTCTAGCCAGGGCAGCAATAACTTGGAAGCAAGGCTCCAGTTTTCGGCCAAGGCCGTGGCGTGGTCGATGACCAGTATCAAATCCATATCGAGTTCGCGATATAGCCAACTCTTGCAGGCATTCAACAAAGGTCGCCAACCTAACCCGGTCCAGATCCGGGCGGCCTCGCCCAGCAGCTCGGCCAGGTCCACAGGACCGATTCCACTAGCGTTGTCTCGACTCCCCAGAACGTCCCCTCGGCTCCCCAGAACGTCTCCTCGACTCCCCGGAACGTCTCCTCGACTACCCAGAACGTCTCTGCTCCCGAGAGCGTCAGCATTTGGCGACTTCGCAGATATATACAGCACCTTGGGCCACACGATCCCATCTAGCTGGTTACCGTTGGATTCCAGTAGAAGCCGCCCACCCAGCACGCCTAGGAGTGAACAGCCACTGCCTGCCAGCCCCCGTAATTCTATGGCACAGTACCTCGTCTTACAAGAACTGCGCGCTATCTGCTCTGCACTCCGACTCAAAATCTGCTCCATTTCGCGTCCGGCACAAAAATACGCATCTTCAATCTTCAAGTGGTCAGCTACCCGACGCAAATAGTCCTTCTCTGCCGGTACACAGTCCAAGGCTAGCACCTTTGATAAATCTTGACTATTCACCAACCAACGATGCGTCGCTCTTATCTCCACTCCCACTTTACTCATACTCCCTCTTCATGAAACCCGCGTCTTCAGAATAAAAAACAGATCACACCAATCCAACCCAAATTACCCAGCAGCAGATTCACCCATACAACAGGAGCTCACTCTGAGGTCAGTAATAGTTTTGTGTCCACAACTCTCAGGGTAACCGAACGTAACCAGAAAGGGACACAACACCATGTGTTGCGGTCCTCAAAATCATGTCAGTCCCGAACAGCCCCTCAATTACGCCAGTAGACCTCCCTTGTCCCGACTCTACATATCCCCCTATTGCACGAAAACCGCTTGTTACGATTTGCCACCCCGAAGGGCTCCAGAAAGTGGTAGTGCTGTTAGGCCCTACACGGGAATCGGACTTAAGTTTTCAATCAGCGATTAGTATGCAATCCGCAGTAAACGTCATCTGCAATACTACCGCCCCTGTCCAAGGATAACTTTTAATGAAAAAAAATTGCTTCGGATTTTTCCGATAACTGCCATTGTGGGCGAGCAGGCTTTGGGTCCCAACCTAGAGTCCAATAGTTCGGGACCTATAAACCGTTCGGGACTTAGCAGGAAGACCATTAACCATCCATCCTGTGACACTCTATCCAGCGACTCTTGCGTGAGTATTTTAGGGCGAACTCGGGCGGGCATTTTCTATTCATGTCAGTACGTGGGGGCGCAGGCGGCGATCGGTATCAAGATGCTTGGGTTTAGACCCGTGACGATTGACTGCGTGTATAGTCATACATTCAAACCTGGTTTAGGTGATACGTTAACTAATGCGATATCTGGATTACAGGTGTATACTTGTAGTCAAATTGTCATGACTGGAACGACACTAGTTTGTGCTTCCAATAGATCCCAGGACCGGGTACCCGAATCGCAATTGCCCGGGTCTCAGGGTCTCAGTGAGGATGTATTGGGATGGAATCCTTCTGTTAAAGCGGGTCCGGAAAGCGTGGTATATGTGCATGGGTTCAAGCCCATTATGTACTTTAGAATAGAGAAATTTCTTGTGGATGCAGCACTTAGTCAATTAGGTGAATGTTCCTGCGGCCAATGTGACCAACTAACGGTCGTGTGTGTCAGATGCAGTGGAGATAATCTGAATACATTACCACTGACGTCAGATCATAATTGCTGCAGAGTATGCAAGTTTACCAACGCACTAATTGAGGCGGGCATAAGGCATCACGTAAGCTCCACCGTTCAACACTATTGGCCACATTACACTATTGGCCGCATCAATCTTAATGTTGTGTAGCCGGATATGTCTCGAGAGATCCATCAGGTAAAGATGGCGGAAAAGAGGACCAAAAGATCACTGGCTTTGATTTACAATGTACAACTGGTTGCGAAACGTCCATTGTATGGATATCATCTCAACTCCAGTCTTTTCGCTCAGATTTCATGCTGCCAGCCCTACGATCCGCCCCGCATCGGGTCCATGATTATTCAAGGCTTGTTCGGTGGTATCCCTCTCCAATGCTATGAGCTTCATATTAGCGCAGTTGTCCGCTTCATGAGAATGTGCGGTATTGCTGGACCAGAATGGCTGTATTTTCAGCGTAGGAATTGTTTCCTACGAAGCAGCAACAAAGAATGCGTCAATAACGTCTTCGAGTTCGACATTAATATGGCGCACTTAATCAATGTTACAGCTGGCACACATACCGCAACCAAATTGGTAGATGGACCATCCGCTGTCGGTACCACATGCACCGACGGTTGCAATTTGGTCGACTTATGCAAAGAAGCTGACCGAAATTTTGTCTGGGATGTACGACAGATCGAAAATACGGTACAAAAATGGAGCGCTGATATGTCCTTACTCGACTCCCCTTGGGAATCATACCGGAATACCGAGATTGACGTCATGGATACCATGCCGCGGTATTGCCAGGAAGATTTAAGCCGAATTGTCCAAGCTATTGAGCGCGCACACACGTGTGTGCGCCCAGACGAAATTGAGGAAACCGGCGCAAAATCAAATGCTGGCCCCGTCGAGACCACAGCTATTCTGCTGTCCCAAGTACATTTCGATAACAGCCAGCCCTTTGCCACGGAAGTGCCCAAGCCATATAGTACCAACCCGGATTGTCTGAAACAAAAGAATCCGTATGCTTATCGGTATCTAAAGGGGTGTCCTATCGGACACATAGAGCGTTGTGCCGCGGGCCGTACCGGCGATGAGCTTCCGATGGTGGGTCGGAACTATGTGTATTTCATTCCCCCGCCAGATAAGGAGTTGTTAATGAACGAGCTCTTGGTGTTGAAGAAGAATGGGATTATTAAATGCTCTGATCCGGAAGATGCCCTGCTCCTATCGGCTCCATTAGCCTCCGCGCCCACTCAGAACTTTGAGCCCCCTGTGTCCACATCTCCAAAGAGTTCTGTGTACCAGAAGATCGACAAGGTTACGACCAAGAGTCCGGCTCACAAAAGGTTTGGTCGTTTGTTGTACGTGGAGCCGGTCTTGAACATTTGCCCACCCGTTGACAGGGGAAGTGACGGTGTGCCGTGCCTAGTTGATGGGTCCAGTGTCGATATGCCGAATGCTGAAGGAGAGACGGAAGACATAGCTTTGCGTCAAATCGCGTGCCTCAAGAGAGACCGCGGTATTCCGGAGATTGATCAGGTAACTTGCATAGTACTATCGTGGGAGGAGTATCTGATAGGTGGGGATGCATCGAAACCAACAGGTACAGTATTACTATATTTGGATGGCAGCGAAGGCACAACTGGAGGCAAGGAATGGACGGGAGAGAATGCCACCGGTGGTTCACAAGGTTGCAAAGAAGACACTGAAGCGGACCACATCATTCGGAGCTTTCCTCCGTCTTCTCGTAATCCGTATATGACTCCGGGTACCCCAGAGGCTCAACAGCTATTGCCCAATTGTTTATGCAACGTTCAAATTCTATCGAATGAAATTGACCTTATATCCACAGCTTTCAAGTTTATACGGCTCATCGATCCCACTATCATTGTGGGCTGGGACAACAAGTTTTACGGTATAGGCTACCTTTGGGCTAGATATAAATTCCTAACGGGAGACCCTGCATGTACTTTGCAGGTCAGTCGTTTCACAAACACGACTTTTAATCTTCCTGTCGATGCGGCAAGAGCTAAGCTTTCCAGTAGTACGCAATTCCTTAACCAGGACCAAACACATGACCAAACACTTGACCAAATTACATACGTTAACGTTTATTAGAAATATGCAAGATTGGAGGACGTACATATCTAAACGGTGGTAAATTGTGTCGTGAAGATACCAAGTTGAATGTAAGTGAATATTATTGTTTGCTACTTAGTGTTTGTGTTACTTAGTGTTTGTGCTACTTAGTGTTTGTGCTACTTAGTGTTTGTGCAACTTAGTGTTTGTGCTACTTAGTGTTGTTTTAGGATGTCTCATTCTTGAACATGGTGAAGTGCACCTTGGGTTTGATTCTACCCCGAATGGAATTACATGTGTTGAGTTTATATTGGCATACAGGTGGTCGTCGTGCATTTGTTATCCGGATGATAATGAACCGTGTGGAAGCGTTTCGCCGAATGTTATGGAAGCAAGGGGTGATAGGTAAGTATGTATCTTTATCCTCAGTGTTTTACGTTGAATGGTCAGCGTCTATAACACGAGGCTCTCAATTCTTCGTCGAGGCCATCATGTTATCGGCCTGTCGTAATCTGGGCTGTATCCTTTCATCCCTTTCGAAGCAACAGGTACGTGATCAAGATGCTCTCGAAGCTATACCTATGGTCCTCGAGCCTAAAAGTAAATGCTATACATGTCCCGTAATCGTAGTCGACTACCAATCCCTATATCCCTCTCTGATGATCGCTTACAATATATGCTACAGCACGTGCATAGGCAAGGCCCATCGTGTCTATCAAGCTATCAACCAATACCTCCAAAATCCAAACACCGATTTTGGCAACATCAGAATCGGAGGAGTGGATGTGGCACTTAACATGAAAGAAATTGTACACGCCCTTGCACAAGACCCAAAAAGTATGTACCATATCCCAGTGTATGTACCACCTCCACTACCATATACCACCTCCACTACCATATACCACCTCCGTTACAACCCTATCACTATGGCGGCCAGCAAGTCTTTCCCTCCGATTATGTCTTCTTTTAGGTTTCCATGTCCTACCTAACGGTGTAATGTTTTGCAACAAATCGATTCGCGAAGGAGTGTTGCCCGTCATTATGAGGTCGGTATTGGCTAGTCGCATTTTCGTGAAGCGAGCTATGTCTAGAGGCAAGAAACGTTTAAGTAGCGAGGTTCTTTCTTTAATGAACTTTAGTCAACAGTCCTTAAAGTTTGTCTCCGTTACGACCTACGGTTATATTGGGGCATCGGTGACGGGTCGTATGCCATGTGGTGACATTGCGGACGGCATTGTCAGCTCTGGGCGCCACTTGCTGGACTGTACCATGCATTGGATTGAAGCACAGGATTTTGGCAGACCTATAGAAGTAGTGTATGGAGACACTGATAGTTGTTTCATTCATGTGCCAGGGTCGTCAATGCCTGAGGCGTTTAACATTGGTCAGCAAGTTTGTGCGATGATCGTCAGAAAGACTCTCCATCCACTCACTCTGAAACTAGAGAAAGTTTACGAATCCTGTGTTCTGCAAACCAAAAAGAGATATGTGGGACATGCCTATGAGACATTGGACGATTGGCTTTCTGAGCGCATCGTCCTCCCACGGTTGCCCTCAGCTTCGCCGTCTGAGATCATGGAAAAGCGCTTATACAAGTTGCTGACCCTTGGTCCGATCCGCTACGGCTTGAAAGGCTTCTTCGATAGCAAAGGTGTGGAAGCAAGTAGGAGAGACCAATCTGATCTAATTCAAATAGCCGTGTCCCGGATTTTGAAGTCCATGTTTTATTGGAGAGACTTAGCGCAAGTCCAAAGAGAATTCAAAAAAATCGTCTTGGAGATAGGGAAAGCGACAACCAAAAATGTTATAACTCAACTGGATGACATCAAACCATTTAGCGGCCGAATAGTTGACTCGGAAGCGGCGTTTGGCTACCCTAAGGACTGGCTTCAATATGGTCGCGCGAGTCATGGAAAAACATTGTCTTTTAAGGGACGCGAGACTCGTCACATTTGGCCGCGAGATTTTATCGCTATAAAGCGACTAAAATTAGGTCACTATAGTTACCACGGTACCAACAAAGCTCATACGCTGCCACCGCAGGCGGTGGTGGCTCTGTGGTGTCAAAACATCTTGAGGTCTGGTTTGCCGATGCTGAAAAAATTGAACACGAAATACGAACCGTTTGCGAAAGGTCGAAATCACTTTAACTTCCGAGGAAACGCGGAGAGGACGACCGGTCCGAGAGAGGACGGGGTCAATAGTGAAGGCGACCAGGACGACGAAGGGACCGATGAGCAAGAGGAACCACCGGAAGAACAAGGTTTTATGTACCATACGGGCGAGGGGTTTGGTTACGTAATTGCTGCAGGGAGTGGCACACTCAACTCGCTCGCTGCTCTCCCTTCTCGGTGTGTCTCGACTCCGTTCTTTCCGTTGGGTCGAGAACATGTCTGGAGCGCAGTTACTCATCGATGGTATCTCTCTTTAAACAACCTGCAACTCAACGAAGAGTACTACCGACGGGTGGTCACGGCCACCGTCAGCCGCATGCTCGATCTGCTGGATCCGCTGCCCCCTAGTGCAGCTTTCCAATGGCTCAAGTCGATGCATCACGTGAACCGTGCAGAAGGACTCTCGGCCGAGCCACTCGGCCTCTGCACCTTCGCCGCACTCGACCCCTTCAGCCTGCCGAGCACACAACTCTTGTTCTGGGGCTTAAGGGGCCACGAACGACGAACCTTGGGCCGAGACCAACGAACTTTGGGCCACGAGCAGGGAGAGCAAATCGTAGTCGAGGTAGATAGACCCGCCACCATTGACGAGGCCACCGACCGGAACACTACTACCACCGACTCGACCAGGACCAATGCTCCGGAGCGCCGCCACGACGGACCCCACCTACGCACAAGGAGACGACCAGCGCCTTACAACGCCGTCTTGAAGGGAGTCACCCTTGGCGTTTACGTTACTGCGAAAAAGACGACCCAGACGCCCCCTGTGCCGCAGCCTCCGCCGCTGACTCTTGGCGGACAGGTCGACGACTGGAAACGATGCCAACGCCCCACGGCCGTCTCTATCCACCCTCAAACCCGAAGCCTCGTGATGACAGACGGGGCGGACCTTCGAGACCTGGACGAACCAGAACCCGACCCCGCTGAGGCCGACCAGCCGACATCGACCAAGCCGACATCGACCAAGCCGACCTCGGCCAGCCTCAAGGAACATGTTTTCCTACATGATGCCCAAAGCAAGCTCGTCATGTGCAGGAGACTCTGTCTCATGTGCACCGGCGGATGTCTTGAAGACGTGGAGAATTGCGTCGACGCGTACCATTGCCCAGTCTACAGCATGAGGACAAATCTTTCCCGAATTATGCGATAAAAATCCCCCATAATTGCCTTTGACATTCAGGTACTTGTGTGCAGAAATCTCACTTGCGTGTAGAGATCTTGTATTAGATATAGTTGGTTAAACGGGGTGAGTCTATTAACAACCGATGCCGGTCCTTAAGACCTTAAGACCGATTGCCAAGGCCTTTCCGAATGCTTATGCATTTTGGTGAACAATCTTTTATTGTTACGATAGATGTCATCAACCCCCTCGGTTTATCGGCCGGTTGATCCAATGCCGCCTTCTCCACGAACCGTGGTGGAAAGCTGCTCAACCAGCTCGAAGGATATTTGACTACCGTCAAAAGCAACCGCTTGCAGGAGGCGTTGACCCTTTTCAATAGTGTAATCAGTGTCTTTAATGTTGTCCAACAGGGCCATGAGGTTGCCCCGATAACCGGCATCAATTAAACCAACTGAAGCATGTCAAGTACGTGTTGTCGAGGTCGAACCATGTGCACCAAATGTGTGTGTGCACGTACCGCTGTTCGCGAGTCTCAGGGGTGTTTTCGAGATGCTTGACCTCGGCATTATAAAGTATGGTATGCTCTCCGCAGTTTGGGAGTCTTTGTGAGCGCTAGCCTTGATCTGGAGGTCGACAGCTTTTGTTTCGCCCGCTTTGATGGTGATGCTTTCGGGGGAGTATAAGTCGAACCCAGCATCGCCCGGGAGTGGCTTGGGATGATTCTTATATAGTTCCTTCACACCGTCATTCAGTCCTTGTATCTTGAGGAACATTGTTTTTCTTTCTTAATCTAAAAGGGGAATTTCACACAAGGAATAAACAAGATGATGGGGATTGTATCTTTTACGAAACATGCCGAGGATGTAGAGGATTGGATGCGACAGAATGTCTATGAAAAACTCAGGATCCTTCCAGACGCGCAAAAACTGGACCAGTTTGCTGACATGTTCCGGCCACGAACATCCCGCCGGAAACGGAGGCTTAAAGTCAGTGAACGGATTACCCACTTTGAGCTTCGTGATAGCGCTTCGTGATAGCGCTTCGTGATAGCTAAAGGCTGGATATAGTGCGGATAGACAGCAAGGTTGGAGGTCTTTTCAACTCGCCTCTACAGTGACCCTTGAACGCCGTGCTGGCCGTATAGCTTACACAAGTTAACCGCTCATCGCCTCCGCTTTTAAATATATAGTTGCTATTAACGTACAAGCTCTCTTCAGCCGCTTATTGGGATTTTCCGCGGCCTGTTGTTTCTTCGTCCGAGATAGTATAGTGGCTAGTATTTCCGCCTGTCACGCGGAAGACCCGGGTTCAATTCCCGGTCTCGGAGTAGTTATTTGGTGCAGTGATTGTAATTTGTCCAGACCGAGAAATCCATGTCAACCGAGTAAGTCAGCGGCAACCTAATCCAGAAAGAGCTAATATGGGGAATCGTGACGGCGACGGCTGCCATATCCCGTTATATGTGTGTTCGTAATCGTGGATATTCATTAATTGCGTTAAAGTTCCCTCCGGCAGAACATTGTATGGTGGTTCCATAAAGGAGGGCGTGTTTCAGAAGAAAGGAGGGCACGGAGGTTTTTATCATACGACCCCTGCGACTTGGAGGATGAATGATACGACAACGACGGTGGTCGATGGCACACGAGATCAGATAGCTCGTGTTCAGTTGACAATTCCTTCAATGTATTTTCAGAAGTACCACATTAGGGAGGACCGGGAGCTGAGTGACGTAACACGTATTGCGCTAGAGAACAAAGGGTTATATGGTTGGTGGTCGTCGAAGTCATGTTCTCCATGTCCGGGGTCTGTGGTATATACGAATCCGCAAAGACGTTGGGTGGAGACGGATAAGAGACTGGATGAGGTGACGAAGATCGAGAGGTTGCGACACGAGGTAGAGACGATGGGTTACAACGACCACACGAAGATAGCGGAATTGTTGCGGGAAGAGGAGCAATTGAAGGGCGTGCGATGTTACTGCGATAACCACCAAGGCTCTATTCTAGTTCACCGCACGTCGCGTGGTGGGCAGCAGGCCATCAAAGCCATCCCTTGGGCGGACCTACAGAAGCCGCTGATGCTCGGGACCAGTTTATTCAGACTGGCAGCTGATGGAGAGTTGGAAATTCAGGCCTTCACTTCGGACATTCGCAAGGTCCTAAAAAGATCCAAACTGGCCTGGTACGTATTCGGGTTCAAAGCGGAAGCGGCCGGGGAAGGAGAAGTTAGCGGCAAAGGCGTCATGGGGGCTCGGGATATGCGGACTGGCGGTGGCGCCATGACCCATGTGGACACCCAGCATCCAAACAACCACGCAGTAGGCCATCCCGTCCATTACAACTGGATTGAGCGCCTCCTGGATGTAGACATTAACCCCTCCCCTGCTAAGACGCCGCCTCCACAACCAAGCCAACTTTATGACGGAAATTCGCATTACGAAGGTATCCGCCGAGTGCCATACTGCCACGCCAAAGATAAGACCTCAAGCACGACGCAGATCTTCAAAAGATTCATGCCGTCATTCCCCAACTGGTTCAAGCCCATTAACCAAGACTCTTCGAACACAGTCATCTGGGACGAGTCTGCTGGCACTGACGGGAAAGCCGGAGTTTCCAAGGGTGGAGTGGTCCTCAAGGATAAAGTCTCGCATGATGGGGAGCATGAACCGTCTTGTCCTTTGAGCCAGCAGTTCCAGGAGAGGCGGGACCGCAAAATTCAGTCGGAACGTGCACGGCGAAGACAAGCTGAGAGAAACGCACGAAGGCTAGTCCGGCTTTTGAACAAGAAGAAGGCGCCGCTGCCACCACCGAAATTGGTCCCGCCTGTCCAGGAGTCCCCGCCAACTCCAGATCGACCCCACTCGCCTCGGAGTCGGTCGCCCCGCGGTTCGAAACCCAGGTCTCCCAGAGGGGTCGGCCGGGAAGGCTTAAGTCCCCGGGCCGGGATGAAGCAAAGGAGCATCAAATTTACTTCTGACCCCAGTCGAAATAGTCCTAGTGCTAGTCTCAGTCCTAAGGTGCCTGAGCCGGAGGTGGTGTCTAAGAAGGTCACGACAAAGACAAACACAAGTCGTGATGAAGACGGGAACTTAATCGTGGACAAGATCACCACAACGGTCACGGACTACCGACAGGAAGTGCCCGTCTTGCCTGTTTCGGTGACTCCCCCGCCTCCGGCGCCTGTGTCCAAAAGCGCGACTTCGAGTGACTCCTCGTCATCGACGGGGTCTGAGATATCGTCAGACATCCCCGTGCTCGAACGAATTGAGAGGCAGAGGAAGTCGTGGAGACTACCGCACTTGGAAAAAGTGTACACCACCTCGTCCAGCAGCGGGTCCGAGTTCGGCAAAAAGGACCTTGGCAAGAAACGTTTTGCATTCGAAGGATGGATCAGAGGTGGTAGAGGAGGAGCGGAAGAACTGAGTGACTCTGACCTGAGTACAATTGGCTCCAATGTAACTTGTCAATGTCAGAATAGACGAGCCGTAGACGGTGGAGATGGTGATGGTGGACGAGATGGTGATGGTGGACGAGATGGTGAGAGCGATATATCATCTCTTTGGTCGTTTGCGAAAAAAATGTGGAATCGGTTAACAACAGGCGATGGGGAGATCTGGGTGGCGAAGGAGTTTGAATTTGATCGTGAAAGCCGTTTGCTTTACCAGATGATTGATACGGCTTTGCGTGCTCGAGAAAAGATAATTTTACAACAGAACTACGGTTACAAGGGTCCGTTGAAGTTTACGTTGTCAGATTTTTTGGAGACCGTGATGCCTTTCATGTCTGCTACCATTCTCGGTCGGGACACCAAGGAAATGCTTTTACAGAATGCCGGCTGGGGTGAAGGCGAGGGGACGGATAACGATCTATCGGATGATTTGCGGAACTCGGTAGCTTATCGGCTACATCGCGACCGGTCTAACAATAATAATGCCGTTCTAAACGACCTGCTGGGATATAATGTGGGTGCCTACAATGGTGTGGGCAGTGTCCGCGACCAGATGACACGGGTAGCTCCGAATCCACACACTCTGGAACCTACGAATTGCAGCGTCCTCGACATTCTGGACCCGCTGCAAGAACAAGTGGCACGACGGGTTAAAGAGTTTAGGCAAATTTGTGAGGCCACTCCCTCGCCCCTGGACAGCGGCTGGGACCGTTTCGGTCAAGCCACCATCAGCGACCAAAATGTCGAAAGGGATCTGCGTCTGGCGACCATGGATGGGCGACTGGATGGCGCAGATGACGAAGAAGACGTGGTGCCTTACTGGCTCAACGGCGACAAGGAACGACGAGATAACATTCGCGATCAACTGGCAGAAGTTGTTACGGAATATAAATTTCTCACCAAGTCGTTACGGGAATATACCAACCATGAACAGTTCCGCTACAACCGTCCGGTTAATGCTCTCTATGAAAGCGCCGAGCGAACTCCCCGACGGATGCCTTGTATTGGTAATGTGGAAAGTCCTTGGTTCAACAACCAACGCAGACAGGCAGGAGCAGACCGGGGTGGTAAGACCGGGACAGACCGGTTAGTGGACCAAGTTGTCGACCAGGTGGTGAAGAAATTACCTTTGGAGACCGGAGAGGGCCTCGACACCAATGTTAGTCGGCGACCCCGGTTACAACTTGGTGAAGAGCCTGCACGACTCGCTTCTGTATTTGGTCCCAGCTTAATTGAGGACCTACGGAGCCGGCCGCGTCTTGATCTGTATAACTACGAAGATAGTCCTCGAAGACCCCGAAGACGAAATCTTCCCATGTTCCGGGATCCTGATGACGAGGGTTCGATTCATGGGGACCGAACTCCCATGATTTTCAGCTCGTCCTCTTTAAGCGGGGAAGCAGATGGTGCGGGGGGTGCAGCAGATCTCTCACAGGGCGCGTACTCCACTGGGTCATCTTGGTCCTCTGTATAGAACTTTTTTTTCGACGCATGCTCGGCTTGACCAAAGGCAGCCCGAAGTGGCTCTTCCGACTCGACCGGGTTCAAAGCAGACCGGTACAAATTAGGTCTGTTGCACACGACCATCCAGGTAACCTCCCGAATAGTACCACGTGACCAGTTGCACAGTCCCCCTTATCTTCCAGCAAAGTGTTTCCTGTTTAGATGATGTCATAGAACACGAGACCAACATTAGGGATCCAAAAGGCGTGATAGAACCGCAGACAACCACTAGGGGTGCACCGGATAATACCTGGAGGGATCCTGGCAAGCGGAACGAACATGGCAACGAACATGATAACAAACATGGTAAGCACGACGAACATGGTAAGCACGACGAACATGGCCAGCACGATGAACATGGTAAGCACGATGAACATGGTAAGGGACATGATAACCGCAACGGGCATGCTAAGCGGGGCGAATCGCCGCCAGATTATAAGCTGAAAGACATCACCGCAAATATCACGGACAAATACCGCTATTATCCAGGCCTGGATCCGGCGACGGGAAGGCCCCTTCCTCGTGGCGTCCCTATTCCTGGGCTTGAGGGCGACACCGTCGAGAAGGAAGAAAGAATAAAGGCGGAGAAGCAAAGGAAGAAACAAGAGAGGAAGCAGGAGAAAGATAAAGGCAAGGAAGGTGAAGGCAATGAGGGCGAAGGCAAGGAAGGTGAAGGCAATGAGGGCGAAGGCAAAGGCAAAGAGAAGATTGATAACAAGAGTAAGGACAAGGAGATGTCTGGTCTCAAGGGCAAAGTAAGTGATCTCAAGGGCAAAGTAAGTGGTCTCAAGGGCAAGAAGGACAAGGAGCAAACTTCTGATGAGAAGAACAAGAAAGTTGGTGCCTATACCGGAGACCAGGACGGTGATGGCATGAGAGGGACCCCGAGCAAGCCCCGGCACGGCAAGCCGCGTGGAGCTGATGACAGACACGGCGACGGTGCGGTTCAGCTCGAACAGACCATGGAGAGGCACAAGAAGGAAGGTACCAAGGTAGGACTTACCCCGGATGGACCATCCAGTGTGGGACTGAACGAGTCTCCTGGAAGCCGTAGTAAAGCTGCAGCTCGTGCTCTGGAGAGCACCGGTATACTTGGACCGGCATATCCCGAGATCCCCCTTTCGTATTACCGGGCAACTGGGGAGAGCATGTTCAGTATTGCCCATCGTGCGTTTTACTTTAATTGGCTTGCGGTAGTCGGTGCCCTGGAGATCCTCCGAGAGATCTTCGACTAGCGTTCGGTACCACGCCAGCCGTAGTGTCTGGCTAGCAGAATCTGTCTGGCAACATTTTGTTTATAGAGTGGTTGTTGAGCGTGGCAAGTTAGCTTGGGAGTTTAGAACAACTGTAGTGCAGGGGGACTAGGCGGGTTGGACGAGGGTGCGGTGCTGCTCCCTGTGGAAGCATGCCCGCCCAGTCGACCAATAGGTGCGAAGCCGCGTCCGCCCAGTCGTTTTATTCACCGGCTTTTGCTGATACTCTCCTTGCGGGAGGGAGTCAATGGGTGGTGGGTAGCGAAGGGCGTCAGGGAACCACCAAGAAGACCGACGAGTCCCCCACAGAGGTTGCGATAAATGCAGTGACGCATCCATGTGCGAAAGAGCTCTTAAATGCCCGGCAAGTTTCTCCCGACGCCCGGGCATCAATTCCCGGGGGCCAGTCTCCCGGAGGTCAGTCTCCAGATGGCCAACCTCCAGCTAACTGTTCTCCCAGTCCTGGGTATCTGAGAGCCGGAGCGCCCGAAAGTGGGGTCGAGCTGGAATCGAACCCACAACGCAAAGCCAGAAAGAGCAGATTCCACTCCAGGAACCCGTCTCGGGTACAGTGCAGACGTCAGCACATGGCCAACTGCGCCGAGACACTGCAGAACTCAGTCGCCCGCACCAGCGCCACTATCATTCCCCTGACGTCATCAAATAGCACGTCACCAAATCGCACTTCACCGAATCGGAAGTCATCGACCCCCAAGTCTCCTAACCCCAGGCCGTCACGTAGCGTATGCGACAGCCATCTGGACGGAGCCATCTGGAGTGCCGGAACACTGCTAGACGGTCCCGTCTGTAGCAGTCCCCACTCGCCAGGTCAAAGGTTGGTGGAGGGCGCCATTGGTTCAATCTCGGACAACAATAGCGGCCAGGGTGAGCCCCAGTATGAAGCTTTGTCATATCAGGCCCCATCATGTCAGGCCCCATCATGTCCGGTGCTGATGTCTGATGGTGGGCCCCAAGCGATTCGCCGATCGGATATCGAGGAGTTATTGGAAGCAGTAAGTTACGTCCCTTTGCGCGGTTACAGAAATAGCATGAGCTGAGCCGCCGGGGGGCAATTACGGGCTCCAGAAATAGCCCAGCTCCCTTCGTGTCCCCCCGTTTTGTCTGCAGTTATTTCTTTTCTAGGCAGAAGCTTTAATTCGAGAGAATCGTTGGCTATGGTCGAAACTACGTCAGCACTCTCGCCGCGGGTCCCGGAGGCCACCGACGGGTGGTACGGTGGGCTAGATGTGTCTGTGAGTGCGGGTGGATGTGATCGATACCGAACTGTCCTAAGGTCGGGCCTCGGCCTGCCTGACTTTTTTTTATTGAAATACCTATATGGCATCGGTGACTTGCCCGATATGCGTCGAGAAGATTGATTCTCATGACCGCAGGTTTTTCCCCTGCCCCTGTGGATTTCAGGTGAGACGAAAAGATCATCGCTTCCCCCCTCCCATCCTAAGGCCGATATTTAGTTGAGCTGCAAGCTGGAATTGCAACGGCGAAAACAATCTGGCCGGCCCTTCTCCCACCCCGGTCCGGGCCTCCCCAGTTGCATCGCGGCTGCATATTTCTGATTAGCTCCCCTTCCTTGTTCGTTGGGTCTGCCAAAACCTGGGCGCATCAAGGTTTTAAGGGTTTGGTTTGGCCTATTTGGACTTGGGTCTAAGACCCTGGGTCTATTAGGTTCTGTTGAGCCCTATTAAGTTCTGTTGAGTCCTATCAAGGGCTGTTAAGCCCTACCTGTTAAGCCCAACCTGTCAAGGCGTGGCCTTTCGGAATATCGAGCCCATTGAAATGAGTGTTCTTTAGACTTGCTTTTGGTGCTATCGTAAGTTGCGTGACACTACGAATGTGTGTCCGAAGTGTCGTCGGGACTACGTGGATGAGAATATAAAGTTGCGGAACATTACGGAGGCTGAGAAGGAGCAATCGGTTCCATCGGATACTTCGTTTGGTCGGAGTTCGGACGAGGAGGAGGACGGTTCGACAACGTCTTCATCAACGGTGAAGTCTTCACGAGTACTGGCAACTCCAGTGGTGGAGGGTGGTGCCGCAAAGCCGGGTAAGAAGAAGGCTGTGGACCGGCGGTTGTCTTCATTACGAGATGTGAGGGTGGTTCGTCGCGACTTGTGTTATCTAGTGGGCCTACCTTTGGAGGCTGTGGCGGATGAGAGTAGATTGAAGGAATTTGAGTTCTTTGGTAAGTATGGTAAGGTGGTGAATATCATTGTTAATCGGAACCCGAATTTCAAGTGTCCGGATAAGAAACGTTCGTGTGCGGTATACATAACTTACGCAACACGTCTGGAGGCGAAGACGGCTATATTGGATAGTGATGACTGTCTGTTCGAGGGACGACGGCTACGGGCCAGCTATGGTACGACTAAGTACTGTAGTAGTTATTTGCGGAATCAACGTTGTACCAATAAGGCTTGCTTCTACTTACACGAACGAGGCGCCCTTCAAGATAGCTTTACTGTCGACCAGCTCAACCACGTCAAGGAACAATCCCGAAACCTCACTTGCTCCGCCATTCTCGGCGACGAACTCAACCAGGGCGGCCACCAACGGTGCGCTGCCACCGGTGTGTCGCTCTTCGGCAAATCCCGCCGTGAAGTCGTCGACTACTACGCCTCCATCGACCCTGTTGCCGAAGACCTCCTGGTCCTGCCCTCCGTTTTGGAAGATGTCGTCACCCGAAAACAGGCACTCAACAGAAACCCCCTCGCGAAGGGAACCCCCCAACTCAACGGGAACAATCAGCTCAATAAAGATGCACGACTCAGCCCTGCTCGACTGGAAAATACAGGTCAACTGGGCAGTACGGGTCAACAGAACGACCTTCCGTTGGCCCACGACGTTCCTCTTACCGGAAACAATCTTCCGGTGAGTGGCGAGGGCAAAGAGCTCGTGGTTGTTTCGCAGGTGGCGAAAGCAGAGACCATGGCGGCGCGACTACGCAACTCCGCCCACAAAATACTTCAGAAAGCGAAAAGCATTGACCATGGAACGGCAACCCCGGCGACGGCGACCACGACCGCTGTATATAGGACTGCTTCTGTTGATCAACAAAGTCGCTCCCTCGAGGCCGGCAGCTTCGACGAAAGCAACCAGCCGATGAAAAATGGCCTGAGACATGGCAGTGACAGTATGGTAGTGGGGTCGATGATCGCAGTTGCCTTTATCCCCGAACCACCATCTACATACCATACGATTGTGCACCCTGCACTGCAAAGAGAGTGGGGCTGGGGCATGTCTTCTCAGAATTCGATGGATTGGAGTCTGAAGGCGTTGGTATCACCACTGAGTCCCAAGGACGGACAAGTTGGACCACCTCGAGATGGTCCCAGTCGCCTGCTGAAGAGATCATGCGTGACATCAGCGGACTTAACGGCTACCTATAGTCGTGACTATAACCACTGGAAAGCACGAGCCGTAGCATATCCTCCCGGCCTATATTGACTTGGTCGCGAAATCCATCGTAGAGCAGGGAGCTACCTACCTGCATTTTTCTATATATATTCAACAATGATAAGCAACACAAAGCGTGCTTCCCCCCTGGGTGGCTGACTAAAACATCATCTCCTTCCCACCACCATCGTCTCCTTCCCACCACCATCGTCTCCTTCCCACCACCATCGTCTCCTTCCCACCACCATCGTCTCCTTGGCCCGGTTGAATTAATTTTAGGTATATGTTACGGGGGGTAATAATAAAATAGGTTATGGCACTGGGTGTACCAGCGGGTAGCAGCACCCCTGCGGATCATCCGTATCCTCATGCAGCGATACCGGCTACTTATTCAGTGCCCGTATGGTTGAATCAAGCGGCAGATACATTGGCAGAGAATAGTCAGGATGACATTCTAATTCCGGCGGATGCACAAGATGATGATTTTGAGGATGAGGATGACGATCAGGGTGGTTCGGATGAGGCTTCTAAATGGATGAAGAAGTTACATAAGGCAGTGTTCGGTTCATCAACAGTATTGTTAATGAACTTAGTGGTTGGTATTGTGATATTGGTGTGTTGTATTTTGAATGATGTACCATGGCGTTTAGGTGGTGTGTTATTTTCAATATTCTTCGGACTAAGTTTCTCTACATTACTGCTGCGATTCGTTTGGATTAAGCTGGTATTGGAACCTTTCTTGCCAGAGCAACGTCAGTTGAACTTGATTACTTGGTTCCTGGATCCTGAATATGGTACTTTGTTATGGACAGTGGTAGCATTCTTGCTATTTAATAATGGTCTTGATAAGGACTTCGGCGAGAATGGTATAGACGTAGAAGGTTATCATCTGTCTTTCGCTAAAGACTACGGAATCATCTACCCATCGGAATATCAGACCGTGCGCTACACACTTATCTTCCTGATCCTATGGGCCGCTCGAGATTCTATTGTTAAACTAATCATGTTCCGTCTAATGCTTGGGTTCCTAATGAATTTCAATAATGAGGTAATCCAGTTCTTACATCGGTACTCATTAATCCGACGACTCAACGCAGCCTGGGTTAAACTTGTTCCTTCATCCGATACGACCTTGGAGATGCTCGATACTCAATACCGGGGCTCTGGTGCTGGGGCAATACTGCCAACAACAGACGGTTCGTTAGATAATCACCGTCACACCAACCGTCCTAACGCCAACCGTCCTAACGCCAGCCGCGGTCACGGTAGCAATCAGGCCACGCCACCTGCTGTCACCGCCGGACGGCAGCCGTTGATGACTTTAGCTTCACTCAACGAAGAAAACATCTCTCGAAAAGAACGCGCCAAACGGCAAAGAGAATACAGTAAACAGCGACTTAGAGCTCTCGCCACCATTAATCGGTCCCAGAGCAAAACGCAACCAGGGCCGCCATCGCGGCTTGGTTCACGTCTCAATTCCAAGGCCTTTGATACAGGGAGTTATCAATCTAGCACAGGATCCGGTAGTTTCCGAGAAGAGGGCAGCTTTGCCGAAAACAACCACCATCATCGCGGCTCAATCAATCAAGATGACATATTGCCACCTGAACATGAAAGGTCGAAGTGGAACTTTGACTTCACCGCAGGCCAAAAGAAACGTCGCGAACGCGAATATCATGTAGAGTATACAGGTCGAGCTCTGCCCAAAAATCTGGAAGTGAAGAACATACTTGCTACTCAACGCTCTCGTCTGGCCAATCTTGCCACCATCAACTGGCTACGAGACCAAGCCGTGGTATTCTTCGTAGATGGACAACGCTGTGAATTACGTTCCAAAGCTGAAGCTCGTTACTACGGCCAACAGCTCTTCGAAACGCTCCTCAATTTCCGTCAAACACTACTAGATGTCGAAGAGGAAGAAAAAGCCCTTCTCGCTGAACAGCCACACCTACATCCCGCAGCCGTACCCCAGCAAGCAATCCAAAATGTAACCATGGAACAAAACCGACGAGCCAGTCTCTCTTCCGGTCGCGCATCTGTTCGCAAACTCGAGTCCGTTACAGAAGAGGAACCCGTCGCTGTTGACCCACCGCGCACTGGTCCCGCAAAATTGGTCGCCCAGGTCGACGACCTGATCGTGCGTGAGGAAACGCTCCCTGTACAAGACCTACATGAACCAGACGTGGACCGTTTCGCTCTCCAAGATATGGCGCTCCAAGATATGTCGTTACAAGACAGAGACCGCCTGGGGGGGCGGGACCATCGGGGACTGGGATTAGAGCGACCGTCGCTGCAGGAAAGCGACCAGTTTGCGGACCATCAGTTTACGGATCAGTTTACGGATCAGTTTACGGATCAGTTTACGGATCTCCCGGTTGCCAACAAGCCCCAACGTCTTATCCCGCGTCAGCAGGACAAGACTGGCGACCGACGACGCCGTTCCGGTGACCGTCGTCGTCAGTCCGTAGAACAGAGACGCGGGTCTCGAGGGTCACAACAGGCGGAGGATGCCGGCACCGAGGAGCATCTGAGTCCGGACTCGAGTCCAGGTTCCAACGCTACGGGGCCGAGGCGTCGCCGACGACGACCGTTGCTTAGTGAGTCCAGCAGCGATAGCACACTCACGGACGACATGATGTTAGTAGAACGCACAATTACGCGGAATCGAATTGAGGAACCGGCGCCATTTGGCACGCAGCCGCCGGACTTCACGCACTACCCACAGTTCATGACAGAGGAAATGCACCGAGCCGAACCGCCTAATTACGACAATCTAGCTCGTCGCAAAACATACTCGAAAGGCGCCTCTAAAAATAGCTCAGGTGGGAACCAAATACACAGCACGTACGACACACCCAAATCCGCTTTGGGTCGCATGTGGAATGCCAAGCCTCCTACCGAGGCGCAGCTCGCAGCGATTACAGCTGCTGAAATGCGCAAAGTGAAACTGCAAATGCCGGACGATCGCGACTGCTTGACCGAAGACTTCTTCCAGCTATTCATGAGCGAGAATGACGCCAAACAACTCTGTTCATTCGTCGACCCAGCCAGTAAGCCTCATCCAGCGTGTGTAATCTATTCGTAAAGCGTCTATTCGTGAAGCGTATGTGTAATCTATTCGTAAAGCGTTCCTTTTAGAATTAGGCAAGGTTACTTCGAGCATGTTTACGAAGGCCATCGTTCAGACGTATAAGATTCGGAAGCAGATTGTACATTCATTAGAGGCACAGGAGGAGATTGAATTAGTGTTCTCACGAGTGTGTGAGTACATTATGACTTTCGTAGGAGTACTGATTTACTTATTGGTAATTGGTATTGACCCGAATACTATTATAGTAACTGGTGTAAGTATCTTGACAGGTGCTGGTTTGGTGTTATCCTTTGTTTATACGGATTTCATTCAGTCGATTATACTGTTAGTATTTCTGAATCCATATCGTATAGGAGATCGTGTGCGAATAGATGGAGAGGCACAATATGTTAAGAGGATATCTACATATTTTACTGAGTTCGAAAGCTTACATGGAAGACCACAATATATAGCTCATACACAATTGATTGGCAAGACCTTAATTAACGAAAGTCGTTGTACACACGCGTCTTCAGAAATGAATTTCCTCTTTGGAGAAAGAACTACACCTTCACAATATGCCGCCTTGAAAAAATTATTAGAAGCCTACGTTAAATCCAGACCACAAGAATTCGTTCCAGACTCATTATTCGTTTATATCATGGGAGCAGCACCTGGACACTACATCGAAATTTCTGTCTGGGTTACTCACACTGAAGGCTGGGGAAATTGGATGGTAGTCAGATCCAGTGAAAGTAGCTTAACCCATTACATTATGCGACAGGCTCAATTACTCGGGATGCATTACAAACTACCGGTTCAACGATGGGAGGTTAATAGTGGACCGAAAACCACTACTTCACAGACACCCGTCTCACAATCTCATCTACCCATCAGTCCGGAATTATAATCCCATCAGATCGGAGTTATAATCCCTCTTGAATTAATGAAATTAATCCAACCACCAGAATATCTTAGATTTAATGACTGAGTCCAAAATTAGTAGATTAACAACATTTACATTACTTACCATTACATTACCAACCACCATGTTGATGACATTGACCACACTGGTGGCGATACAGCCAAGGCGATACAGCCAAGGCGATACAAAATACCCAGATAACATTAGAACGCACTGCTTGCATGTAGTACGGTAGACAGAATTGCTTACGCATGTTGCAATGCACAGCAGAGAAGAGCACGGGGTGGGAAGAACTTGGGGTGGGAAGAAGTTGGGGTGGGAAGAAGCCTTTCCAGAGAATGGCAGGGGAGAATGCCATGCAGGGGTGAGTGCCATTCAGTGCACAAGCATCGTGCGTGTCTGTGATGACGGCAGAGGTGCGACCATATCCACGTCTATCACTGTTTACGTGCTTGCAGCACGTGATAGCCACTGATCAGTCCCAAGGAATGCAGCACACACGTGTGCGAATAGTCCGATTTGTTTTATAAACTTGTTCTATAAAATAGGTCAAATAATGTAGACCATATTTTGTCGTCTTGTGTTCCATTCGGTGCCGTACAGGCAGGCCAAGAAGGGGACGCCGATGATGATGCCGAAGCAAAAGTAGTAGTTGCCGAAAGCGGTCCCTTTGTGGTACTTGCTGAGGGCGATAAGTGGGATTTGGAACATCATCAACGTGAACATCCATCCAGCCACGAACCCCAAGGTGGCAGTGAGGAAGAACTCATGGATAACGGCAGAGAACAAAAACGTCAGCAATGACGCAACGAACTGGCCTTTAAGAACGCGACCAACTCTTCTTGCCGTCCGGCCTCCACCGCTTTGCCCCGTCGAGTCTGCGTGGTGGTACATACTCCATACCGACTTGACAAAGGAGTAGATGGGACGGTAGCAGTGGGAGTATAAGAAAAGGTGGACAGGGCGATTCCATTTGCGGGAAAATTCCTCCCAAGTAGTGCAGTTCCAGAAGTCTTCATAGAACTCGCGATCCGGGTAGCCTGTGACTTCGGCCAGCATGTTCAGTATGCACTCGAACATCATATAGAAAAACAACAGATCCATGATGAACAGAGGACTGATAAGCTTCGTGTATGTATAAAGATAGTTCGCTTTGGATGCGTTGTCCATTACAGGAATTACGTCACGTGACGCTATTAAGAAGATCGAAGACAAGGTCAATAACAACAGAAATGTCTTGCCCACGAAATAACGCAGACGGAAGCGGGGGACATCTCTGGACCTCCCCAATGCCGAAGCCTGCTTCAACACCGACGATGACTCCCATTGCTTCAATGTCCTCGTCGACTCCCCTTCTCCTAGTCTCGCAGTCGACGCAGCTGTAGGCACTTGCTGATTTTCGTCCTCCCCTTCGAGTTCACAGTTGGCCAACGAAACACTCAGTTTGAGTTCAGGCAGTGTGTAAATGACGCTGGGCACGAAAAGGAATCTTGTGAAGTCCTGCAATGTGCAACAGTTAGGGAAATCGTACAGAGCACACGCTTTCGAACATTCTGCTTCACAACCCGGCGATAAACAACCACCCTCAACAGGTTCGCTCCCATCATCTACCTGACTCTCATCAGCCCGCTCGACCTGACTCTCATCAGCCCGCTCGACCGTTTCTCTCATAGTCTTCTCTGCCACCATCTTGGGTACGTTGTCGGTACCGCATTCAGTTACGTTATCAGTTACGTTGTCGGTTACATTATCAGTTACACTATCAGTAAGTAAAGTGGGATTCTCAGTCTCAGTTGCGGCTTCCGACTTTTCTGCGGGGATGTCCGTTTTCTCTGTGGAGTCCTCTTTCCTGTCTGCTTGGCGGTTCTGGGTATTGAGGTTTTTGGGAAGGAGGTTCTCGTGGTCTAGTTGTTCCAGAGCCTTTGTGCTGTGTGATGGCTCTCGGAGGTGTAGTCCGTTGTGCAGCCAAAGGGTATGGGTAGTGCACACATAGGAGTGGATCTTCATGAGGTGGATCATACCCACGGACATGATGAACACTGAAGGGAACACCGACCAGTCTCTACCACGGGCAACGGATACGCACACGCCTGTGAGCGTGAGCATGACCACAGCCAACAGCACCCGCACTTTATTCGGTCGTCGCAGCTTCGGGTAACACCGGAACAATCCGTAGGCTGCAAAGGACCAGAGGATGGCGAAAAGCCAAGTACCAATCAGTAAACGGAAATCGCCGAATGCGTCCTTAGCCAATTCCATATCCAACAACTCCCCCGTCTCATAGTAAGTATATATAGGAGAGGTAACCACCCATACAGCATCCACAATATCTATAACACATTACAGGAACACATTATAAGACAAGACCCGGTAACCATCCGGACCAGGGATATCTGCATTAATGAATGCCCCGGGGCCGGGGGACGCAGAATAACAAACTTTCAAGAAGGGACACAAGGAGGAATGTTGCTTACGGACAAGTCTTGCCAGGCCTGCCAAATTGGACCTGCTTATGGTGCTTTCGGGGTCCAGAATGTCCAGCCTGCTCGGCCTGGTGACTCGCACAGGTTCCCACAGCCGGCCTGGCTTCGCCATGTGACCAAAAAAATTCGTGCAAGCACCGACTTTTCATCCCATTGTCCCTATTGTCCCTTCCCCCATTGAAACATGACATTTTTGCTTGCCTAATGTGTCCTCAAAATAGATCGCTGTTTTATCGCTGTTGACTACCACTGTTTATTACGTCAGTGTATTCCTGATGAGGCGTACCGTATGAACGGCCTCTCATTGTGTGACACACAGCACGACTAAATTCCGACGCATCTCCAGCAAGGAGGTTAGCTGCCTCTTTATTTAGGGGGTCTTCCGTTTGAGGATGGAAGAAGAGGTCTAGTAGACCCAGCACGACGGAGTATACCGATAATATAGGGTTCCAACCCACGCCAAGGATGTTCAGACACACACTGCCGTTTCTATCAATATTTGGGTGGAATATCTACAACGAAACTTGTAACGACAATATCAAACAGAGCTCCCTAACACCTGGTCGGTAGGGTCATACTGCCCACCTGGTAGGGCCACGCTATCAGCACACCCACCCTTGGGCTCAAGTCTTTGAGGGGCTCAAGTCTTTGAGGGGCTCAAGTCTTTGAGGGGTTCGACTCTTTTAGGGGTTCGACCCTTTGAGGGGTTCGTATGTGCATTGTTCCGATATCAGTGTGTACCACGTGTGATGGATAACTTACCATTTGGGTACATCTGACCTTGGGGGGGTCGTGGGGATAATTGGCCGGCACTGTAATCTGAAATCGGAAGCACCCACCCTTGTAATAACCAGTATCAGGCTCTATGTAGGCTACCAAGCTCTTCAGGTCGTTTTCGTTCGGAATTTCGAGTCTACATTGCGCCGGCAAGTCGATGTTCTTCAGGTCTACAACAAATAGCGCCCATTTCTAGCTTCCGTGTGCTAGAGCTTCCGTGTGCTAGAGCTTCTGTATGGTGCTGCCCATCATGTCCCCGTGTTATCAAAGATGTCAGGGGGCGGGGGGGGAAGTCGGGGTCAAGACCAATGGTGTAGTTTACCTGATTGAAGTCGGATTACTGCGGGGTCAATGAGGCAGCGGGAGGGTTTTTCCGATGCAGGTTGTGCCTGCTTATTTCGATGAGTACGTAGCATGTGTTGGTATCAGAAAAAGGGTCCTCGACAAGGGGTAATTTTGTGTGGTGAAAATGGATCTCTTGTTGGAGAGTATTTGGCGGCCGGAAGATGGTCGATCTTCCGGGACGGGAGCCAAAGCTTTATCAGGCGGCAAGTCAGGCGGCAAGTCAGGCGGGAAGTTGGCGACTAGCAAGCCCCCAACAAGTATGTTTGATGCGATACGGGAAGCGGAAGATGAGGAAGTCACGCTGGCGTCGAAGGCTGGGGAACCAGGTCTGGACGCGCCCATAAATGCCAGCGAGGACGTGAAGGTATTGTTCACCAAGAGGGCATGGGGCTTGAGTGTCAACCCGGTCAAGGCCCATGGTCCGGGTATATTCATGACTTACATGATGGGTGGCAACGGTATCTTCGGCCTCGTCTTCCTCGGCTTCACCATGATCACGGCTATCAAAACTCTCCTCATGGTCAACAAAGTCTTCGACGACTTCGAACGCTCAAGCAAGGTCAAGGGCAACACCACTCTCCAGCGATCCGCCTACGTCCTTTTCTCTCTCGCCTTCATCGGCTACTTCACCTACCGCGCTGCCTCTATCGGAATCCTCCCGGTTGGCGACATACGCTCACATCTGCCCGTCAGAAACACCACTCCCGCCTGGCCCAAGTACCTAGACAACGACCTTTAACCTGCCAGTCAGCAGTCGATAGCCGACCAGTCAGTAGTCGGCCTCGACAGTCAGCAGTTGACTAGTGGACCAGTCGACAGTCACCAGTCGACCAGTCGAAAGTTCAATGACAAACACCCGAGTCAGCCGCCGAAATGTCCTGCCTGGTCCCTGGGCGCCAATCCACGGGTCCGGCGTATTGCACGTTGCTAGCTGACAGCAAGCGACGTGACGGTCACTTCAGATTTGGAGGATTTCGCTTCAAGTCGAAGTTGTCTTCATCACTGAGGTGAGTTCGCCCATCACTGAGGTGAGTTCGCCCATGTTTAAGCATCCGAAAGACCCGCGTTCAAAGACCCTGAATGCTGCTGCTGAGAGCAAGACCATGGTAGCTTTGGCTTGTTTATCAAATGACTTCTTCTTATGACCGAGGGTTATTGGTCCAAGGACTCATGAGTCAAGCATCTCATGAGTCAAGCATCTTATGGGGCAAGCATCTTATGGGGGTATTGAGTTGGGGGGTGAAAAAAATTGGGAGGATGTACATAGTTGCAAGGGCGGTAGCGCAGTAAGTGTAACCGGCTGATGGAACGTACATGTTGGTAGGTGTATTGTGGCGACCTTTTTTGGTGACGTTCGAGCGGTGGGTCTGGAACGTATTCCGGTGGAAGGTCCGGTAATCTTTGTGGGCAATCACAACAACAAGTTTGTTGATGCATCTGTGGTGATGGCATGTGTTCCAAGGTCGTTACGGTTTCTGATCGCGACCGTCTCTCTTTCGGTTCGGGTTGTTGGTCGCCTCGCCAAGTTTGCAGGCGCCATTGGAGTTAGCCGGCCGCAGGATATGAAGTTTGTGGGAATGGGAAGGATCATGGCCCTCGTGGCAGACGGGGAGCTGGACGATCTCTACGACCGTGCCACGACCGCTAGCGAGAACAACTGTGGTGAAAACGGTCGAGAGACCCAGTCTGGTGAGACCCAGTCTGGTGAGAACAAGTCTGGTGAGAACCAGTCTGGTGAGAACCAGTCTGGTGAGACCCAGCCTGGTGAGACCCAGTCTGGTGAGACCCAGTCTGGTGAGACCCAGTCTGGTGGGACTCAGGAGACGCCATCGAGGGAGATGCAGTATACCATGTATGGGAACAATCAAACCAGGTTTCGAATTGACTGTAAGAAGCACGACCGGGTGCTACTGGACGGCACGATGTTTTCGGTCGTGGAGGTGCGTAACGACCACGAGCTGATAGTTACAAGTAGGGATGTGGTGGTTTCCTCGGCTCTGTTGAAGAATTCGGCCGGTACGTTCGTGGCAGCGGTGTCTGGAGACTTGATAAAAGAGGAGGTTAGCGGCGAGCTTGGGCGCGTAGGAGCGACTTTTACGGTTTTCCCTAAGGTGGATCAGGGAGATGTGTATGAGTCAGTTTCCCAGGCGTTGTATGAGGGGAGCAGCATTTGTGTATTTCCTGAAGGCGGTAGTCACGACCGACCAGAGCTGTTGCCATTAAAGCCAGGTGTGGCGATAATGGCTCTGAATAGTGCCCTAATGGGAGTGGAAGATCTATTAATCATACCCCTAGGGATCCATTACTTTGATAGACATAAATTTGGTAGTAGAACCATTGTGCAAGTTGGTCAGCCAATCCCGATACGGGAAGAGTTGATGAGAATGTATTCGGGTCAGGGTAGCAAACGAGAGGCCATTCGTCTTCTTATGGAAGATGTGAAGGATGGAATGGAAGACTGTCTGGTCTATGCGAATAGTTATGATAAATTAAAAGTTATATCTCTATGTTCTTCACTCTATCTTCCAGACCATTTGGCGGTGCAGGCTGAGAAGCGTCATAGACTACAAACTATCTTTACTCAGCTTGTTAATGCTGCGGATATTCTGGCACAGGCAGAGGCTGTTAGTGGTTTGGAAGGATCGTTCAATCTGAAAGAATTGGAGGATACTGTTCAGGCCTATGATCATTTGTTAGAAGCGAATGGATTAAATGATGTAGATGTTACCAGTATGCACCTGAATGCGGAGAATGCTGCTTTCAAGTTGGTACAATTATTAATCCCAATACTATTACTCAGCGTTGTTGTAGTCCCTGCAATTATGGCCACAGCACCGTTAAAATATATTTTCCGTTTAATGACGGAAAAACATCGCTCTGAAGCACTAGCCAAAAGTAATGTCAAGTTGACAGCAGTGGATGTCATAGCCAGCTACAAAATTGTATGGTGGATCTGCTTCATGCCTATAGTCTTCATCTTGATCGGTTCAATCTGTTCCACTTGGGTTGTTGTAAATCGTGAACTCCTGTTTACAACCGGCAGTCGTTTCCTCCGTATGGATCTTCCACGTCTGTGGATCTTCACATTCTCTCTATTACTCCTGACCCAACCTATAGCTACATACTTGGGTCTTACCTTTCAAAATAAACTTATACCATACCTAAAACAAATGCGATGCTACTACCAAGTATTAATCAGTGAACTTGATGTATGGCGAGGTGGAGAACGCGAAGTTATTATCGATCGCATAGATGTCCAACTTAAAGTTAGGGAGTATGTCAAACACATTTTAAGTATCAAACACTTTCTACAAGCCAACAATAAAAGAGCGAAGAAATTACAAGACACTCTTAACGACCTGGAAAAGCTCATACCACTTGTCATCATAGATAATGACACCAGACGACTCACTAGGCAGAAACGAAAAATCATGCCCGTAGTATACAGGTCAGCCGTCATGAGCAGGGAAGAAATACTCTAATTTTTTTTTACTACAACTTTTCATTCCCAACCGACACCGACAACAAAATATATGACTTCTGTTGCCCTTCGGCTCCTCGTTCTGTATGTCCTTCCACTCCCTCCCTATGCAATGTTCTCGAGGCTATGTTCCTGAGGCGCAACGTTCGAGTTTGACACCAAGAGCGGAGGGGAGGGGCTGCCAGTTTTCTGGAGAGGGGCTGCCAGTTTTCTGACGTTGTTGGCTCATTAGAGGTTTGGACAATGGTGGAAAAAGTACATTTGTGACCAGGTTGTTTGGGGAGGACATCGAGAAGACTCGCCCGACTGTTGGCTTGGTAATTCGGACTAAGACACATATTGTTGATGATGTAATTATAGACGTCGATTACTGGGACGTGGGGGGCCAGGAATCCCTCCGGAGACACTGGCATAATATTTACCACAAGGGAGACGCGGTGGTGTGGGTCATCGACTCCAGTGACGTGGAACGGATGGAAACGTGCTTTGACCAGCTGAAACTCACTGCAGCCGCCATCCGATCCAAGTCGTTAGGCTTTCTTGTGGTTTGCAACAAGCAAGACCTACCCACCGCTCTGAGTGTATCAGACATTCGCCAAGTAAGCACACTGGCTGTCGCTGGCCGCCACGTCGCTCCCCACCACACTCACTTCTTATTCGTCATGCTTTTTTAGCGTATACCAAACGTAAGCGGAACCACGGTCTTCATGGAAGGCTGCTCCGCCGTCCTTATGAGCCCAGACGACCTTGACCAAATAATACGAAAGTTCATCAAGACATTCTTGCCGTCCCTGCCAATAATGGAGAGTCGACTAGTACTTCCCCAAACCCTCTATACAAACCAAGCTCTTGAAAATGGGGAGAAAAAGATACAAGCAGCCATCGACTGGAACCGTCCAATCCAACTACCTGAAATTGACTTCAGATTCACGGCGCTCGAAAAACTCTGCCAAGCCACGCATACCACCACCAGTTAACATCGATTCTCACTCTTAGTTCCCACTCCGCAATTCTTGCTCTTAGTTCCCACTCCGCAATTTTTACTCTCAGTTCTCACGCCACCATTCTCACTCTTAATTCCTACGTTAAACTTCCCTATTAAAAAGTTCTGTACAGTACCTGCACTAACCGTCCAGGCCGACTGTTCCTCACTACCCTTGGTTCTGACATTGATTTTGACGGACACTGCCACTCTTTGTCCAGTCAACGTAAGTTGCCATGTCTCCTCCGTGCCCATGTAACAGTCGTGAGAGATACCCTGAACGTCGCACTCAAAGTTTAGATAAGGGTAGCCCTCACGACTGTCACATAAGCGTGGAGGAGACATGGGTACCACCGACACTAATGGTCCTAACACGAGCTGTGAACTTGGGCCAGATCTCCGAGTAATGCTGCCAGGCCGTGAAAATGAACACGTGGGCTTTGAGCGGTCGGTGGAGCCTCTTGACAGGGACCACCAGCTCGCTGACTCACTGGACGAGATTGAAGGACAGTCGTCCGCCGTAATCCCGTCGAACAAAACGTGGGTTTGGTCTTGGTGACCGAGCTTGAACTCCAGACCCGTCCCGATTGTAATGTATCGTTCGTAAACTTTTCTGGGTTCGCGGTGCAGCGCTACAGACGCTGGCTACCGCGCCCGCTCGACGCCTTGCCAGGTTCGTTCCGTCACATATCGTGGCTGTTCCATTTGCCGGAAAAGTGTCTCGGTTCCCTACCGTCTCGGTTCCCTACCGTCTCGGTTCCCTACCGTCTCGGTTCCCTACCGTGACCCGGTCAGTCACAGCCACACCTTCCCCCTCATTTGACCCTTCCTTGACGTGGACTATTTACCGACCAGAGCCCCCGCCACGGGCGCGCGCCAGACTTCTGATTTGGCCTTGCCGAGTTCTTCATTCCGGCTGCAGCGGTACAGGCACCTCGGGTGACAGTACCGTCTCACCTCAGACAGTGCCAGTCGACACCAACTTGGGAGTCGTGACAGGAGATCCACTTGAGCTTGACTAGGTAGGAACTTAACCATCCATTAAACCATCTAAACCTTACACCTAGGCTATCAAGCCTAGCACTGGCTGCCGGTTTGAGTACGTGAAGTAAGCCCCAGCCCCAGCCCCAGCAGTGGAGTGGACATCCTCCCGGCACTTGTCGTGGTTCGGAATGTCGAGTACGTTGGGATTCGAGATTGATCTGGGTGGCGCGCGAAGGCCCTATGGAGCTGCGCGTAACCCTTCAGTGTGCTGCGATGTCGTGGTAGTGGTGCAGGCAGACGAGGGACGCGGATAACGGGAGCGCTCAAGTAGAAGCCGGAGCGCGGACGAGTGTAGTCCTAGCAGCGACTGGACAGGGCCGGTCGCGGGGGTGTGTTGAGCCGTCAGAGTGTGCGACGGGGACCCGTCGGTCGCCACTGGCAGTTGCATATTATACGCCTTGGCGCCCCGTTCAGCCCTCGGACCACAACCAGCTCAAATACCAAAAAGAGACGCGGAAGACAGGAGACGGCAACGGCACCCTCACCCCGAAACTTTCTCCATATTACACTAACGTATTTTCCTAGTACTTTACAAATGGCTCCCCGCGTCCCTAACAAACGGATCTCGGTGATCGGTGGTGGTGGCATGGTTGGGGCAGCTACTGTGAATGCCTTGATCCTTAAGGGCGTTGCTGCTGAACTTTTGATTGTTGATGTTGCTCCGAAGGCCGCCGAAGGACAGGCTCTTGACATCGCCGACGCCTCCTTCAACTCCCCCGGG